GGAGGAGCTGAAATTCTTCCCTGCCATGCAGGTTCCTTTCCAATTTGTTGGAACTGGATCCATATCCTTGTCATTGAAACTCTCTGATTCTGGCCAAATACCTTTTTTTTTTTTTTTTTTCCATTTGTTTTTAGTCTAGATTCACTTAGAATATGAAGATATATGAGAGTGAGTCTTTTTTGGAGGGGTACTGAAGTGATTAAAGACTCACCTGTGTCCAAAATGCCAATAACAGTATCTGATCCATGAGAGTCAGAGTTGGCAGATGGGTGTGAGTCAATCTTTACGTCTGTTTGGTACTTCAAGAAATCCCACGAACGAGTAGTGTGAAGTTGTAGCATGGGATCAGGGAAAACTGATACAACTCCAGGTTTCTTCGCGATGGAGCTTGCTTCTTCTGCTGATAACCGAGCTGCGAATCCAGAGAACCCATGTCTATATCTCTGTACCAGAGCATTCACTTTCCTACAAACACAAGTATGATTTCAACTTACTTATATACCTATATCAGCTCAAACTGACATTTCCAGTTTAACAAAGGAAGGAAGATTAGTTTGTTGTATAATTCACCCTTTCAACAGTGTGTTTATGAGTATCTGAGCATGGTCATCCTGTGCAGCTCCCATGTAGACAATATAGACTCCATTACTGTTTGACGCAGCTGCATTTGTTCCCTTGGAAAAACTGATGGAGAATAGTAAGAAAAAAGAGAAGAAAATTGTCAATACCTTCATTATTTTAACAATTAACCGTGACAATTTAATCTTGGCACTGCGGGCAGTTGGGTTGTATGGGAATATATATATATATATATACTCGTATGTATGTATGTATGTATGTATGTATGTAGATATAGTGGAGTTAACAATGGAAAAATGGTGTTGGTGGAGAATGCAAAAACCATAAGTTGTTTAGTAGCCACACAAAGTGCGCCATTTCTTATCTCATGTAATTTACAGTGGGATACATATAATAGTGGGCGGCCGCTGCTGATGATCATCAACGGGTAATGGAAAGTATTTCTCGTCTCTCAACTCTCGGTGCATGATATATAATATAATATATATATATATATGTTTGAAGCATGAGTGGATGTAAAATCACATATTCTTGTGGAAGAGAGAAAAATAATGTATTCTTATATTTACATTCTGGGGTGATCTTGAATATGGTAAGTGGGCTCTGACAGTAATTTACATTTGGTAATGAGCTAATCATAAATCATTACTATTATTATTTTATTTGAAAATTAAATAGGAATATAATATTCTTTATTGAAATTAAAGTATAAGTTTATGTTTTGAAATATACTCGGAATTTATAATTTATAATTATGTATCAAATCTGTAAAAACTCAAATTTTTACAATTTTTTTTTTGTAGAATATTATTATATTCTTGTTAAATTTCACACAAAATTTAAATTTATCCTAAATATATGTATATATTGTCATAACTAAAATTTTAATTCAACAAAATTATGTTTAGCTTTGAAGTACCAATTCATGATGAAGTATAAATTAAGCCATTTTTCTCTGAGGTACCAAAAGATTTAAACTTATAATTCAAAACTAATAAAGTTTTGAACATTAATGAAACCTTATTTATTTTCTATCGTGACTCATAACATTACCTTCTGGGCCTGTTGGGCTTTATAAGTCAACTCCCAAAAAAGCTGTTGACTTACAAAAAAAATCTTTCCGTTGCCGGGAATCGAACCCGGGTCTCCTGGGTGAAAGCCAGATATCCTAACCGCTGGACGACAACGGATTTGTGTGAGAGACGGCTGGATGTAAACAACTTAATTATATTTCTATTTGAAAATATTTAAAACAAAGCAAATAACAGATTTTAATATTTTAAAATAATATCCAATTTATTTTTAGTTCTAAACATTTAATTTTCATTATTGAGTTTGCATATTAAATATTCAAAAATTTTACTCAAATTTATAATTTGTGTTTTTCCCTTTCTTCATGTAATTATATTAATAATTTTCTATTTTATCCCTAAAATTTTAAAATATTTTTAAATGCATATTTTTCGTAAAAATATTATGTAAATTAAATTATTATTAATTAAACATATACATAAAATTATATATTAATTAAATATACAATTAAGATAGTTAAATTAAAAAATAATTAATGTTTTTTTTTTTTAATCACATAACTCGATGTGGTAATACTTACGCCAAGCTATAAATATTTTTTTAATTAGTTTTGGAAGGTTAATCTACCATAAAAATAAAAATATATATTATTTATTATTTAATTTGATTTAGATATATATATATATATATATACACATGAATACACACACACACACTTTGGAGAGAGGGGACATGAGCTCGTTTAAATAGGCTTAATTAATTAATTATCCATATGTTAATTAATTAATTAAGAATTACAACCAATAAACGGATAATTAATTAATTTTGTCTCCGTGGCATGAATAACTAACGACCTCGGCATCTTGTTGTTTAACTTTTCTGGGATTTCCTGGTTCTGTTGTGTTGGTTTGCTTTTTATTGAGATCTAAATACTTTCTGGATTGACCCACATTTAATATGAACTGTCTCTCTCACCTTGAATTTTCCTAATATTAATGAAACAGTATATGTATATATATATATATATACATACAGAATCCGAATCAATCAAAATTAAAGCCGAAACAGAGGCCGTAGAATGACCCACAAAGTTCAAAAAAAAAAAAAAGAGAAACAAATAAAGTTAAAGGGTGCTGCAGAAGAAGATTGAACAAACACAAGACGAGGAAGGTAAGGTTAGGAGAAGAGATTATGATGATAATGATATATAGCCAAATATGTCCCATCTCATAACTGTACATGTTTTGTTTAAGGCAAGCACAGCAGCTATTATACCTAAGTTTATGTCTACTCTTAAAATGCTCTTCCCATCAACCTTTAGTTACAGTCTTTCATGGATTCCCATCTAAACTTGCATCTCATTGGTAGAAGAATAAAGTGAGACACGGACAAGACGACAATGGTTCAGCCAATTGATAAAAAAAAGGTAACAGAACACCCGTCACCTCCTCTCCACCTTTGCCTCAACCTCCTCAACAAAAGCTTGATACACATGTATCTGTTTTCCTAACCTCAATCAACCCATTAATGTTTTCCCATTTAAGAAATGGTTTCTGTCTCTTTGTTATTATTCTGGGAAAGGGGAGTTAGACGGGGTGGTGACGCACTGAAAGGGAAAGAGAGAAGAAAATAAGATGGGATTGATTAAAACTGGTTCTTGCTTCTTAAAATGGTGCCGTTAAGGTTCTGTGGAGACTCAGCTTTTTTGGAACCTGGGTATTGGCTGCCAGGAGCTGTAATGGAAAGATATGTAGAACCAACCAATCAGCCTATCCAAACTCTTGATAACAAAACATGGGGAATTAATTAATTAATTAATGACATTTACCTCCTCCTGCTGCTTTCTAAGCCTGGCATTCTCTTCCAATAAATTAGCAATCTCAATCTCCAACTCCTGTGTGTATGCCTGCAGAGCCCAAATCAAGCAATCTACTCTTAACAATACCAGAAAAGTTCTGACATCAACAATATTTATTATATATATGATATACAAGTACTTATAGTATACATATTATATGTAAAATGTACAAGAGAGAGAGGGAGAGGGAGAGGGAGAGAGAGAGGGAGAGGGAGAGGGAGAGAGAGAGAGATTCCTGTTTTCTAGCTCTGGACCTAGCAGCTGACTCTCTGTTCTTGATCATGCGCTTATGCCGCCGATCATCATCGTCATTGTCTCTCAGTTGAACCCTTTTCCTACAAAACGAAGAAGGGAACACTGAAGAAGAGCCCAAAGCATGGGAAGTAGAGACGTGGGGAGAATCAAAAAAGGACGTAACATTATCATTGACGCGGTGACTCTGAATTACTTGGTGGTTCTGCCTCCTACAGTCATTGCTGATCTCAAGATACTTAAAATCTGCAGATCCAGAACCCAAGCTCAAAATGGTTGGAGGAGTTGAACTCGGAGAACCAGAAGAAGCAGCTTCCAGCAAAAGATATGACGAGCGACGAGAACTGGCTGATGGGTGTTTGTCTATCAAGGGCCTGGCTAGAAAATCTTGAAGGACGAGAGTAGCTGGAACTGGAAAGCAAGGGTGGTCGTTGGTGTTGAGGTTTTCAGTGGTGAGAGAGGAGAGGTTGATGTCCTTCCAGACTTCTTCCATGGATTTCTTGGTGGATGACTGGTTTTGGATCTGAGATGGAGGAGAAGAAGGAGAAGAAGATGATGATTTTGAAGGTGAGCAAGAGATTTCTTTGTCGTTTCTACCAGTTGCCCACATAGTGAAGAGGTACTAAACCAAACACAAGACCGAGGAAGAACAAGGGAATGCGTCTTAAACCTCTGTTTTTTCATAAGATATGATTGGGAAACGCCTTGTAATTATGTCCCATGCTGTAGTATCTGCTTTAGAATTATATATATAACCATGTATCAACAATTAGGACGTATGCCAAGAGCATGTTGGAACTTACGGTATGATATGTAAGTGGTAAGAGAGCTCGTAGTAAATCAGTACATTTTTACTGCCTCCTTTGAAGATTCACCGTCTGCAAAAGCATACAATTCTAAGCAATATAGTAAGAGTACTATATATCATAAATGAGAAATGTTCACGCCTCGTACTATTCAGTATTTAAGTCTCCTTCTGTGATTAAAAGAGTAGTCTTTCATTTTTGCATTTGATTTTTTTCTGTTGGGATGAATTACCATTTTTTAGTTTCTGAATTTTGACACAAATTTTGTTCTACTCTTAAATATTTTTGCCCTCAAAAAATTTTAATCCGTTTTAGTATAAATTTATATTTTTATTAACAGCGTATTAGTCTCGTGTTTAACCCTAATCCACACACCCAAAGCTGTTTAATGATTCTACCACTCATCCCAACATTAGAAATCTGGGGATTACTCAGAATTAGATAATCAAGTTTTTGATTCACACTGGAAAAGTCAGTAGGTCAAATTTAATAAAAAAATTTTCCAAGGTAATTTTTAGAAACAAAGGCTTTTAGTTTGAAGTGGACAAAAAATTGGAGCTTTCACGAGACGACGCGTCGACAAGTTATTAGGTATAGAGGAGGGCCTTGGGATAGCTCATAATTGGCCAGTTTAGAGTTACCCTTTCTTCCCTCTGGCTTTGAAGTTTTGAATTGACTGAATACTTTGTCGTTTGTTGGTTTCTGAACTTTTCTTCTTTTTTTTTTCCTTCCTTCTTTCTGTCAGCTGTAGATTTCTTTTGAGGATGCTGCATTTCCCCTTTATTCTCTCCCCTACACCCACAGCCACAGTGAGAGAAGGACTTCATCTGGCAACCCAGTTCCCAATACAGTAACATCACCTTCAAACCTCTAATTACTAGCCCAGAAGATCCACCGTCTCGTCACCTTCATTGTTGATCAATGATACCACTCACCTCTCCGTTACCTCCATTTAAAATCATAATTCTTCTCTTAAGCAACTAACCACAAACTCGTAAAGAATGTAATAACCTCTTTTGGGTAGGTACCCAATTCCAAACCTTTCTTTAAGACACAGATTCAGCATCTTCCTTTAGAATCTACTGTCGTATCTTTCCTCTCAAATGCACCCTTACCCCTGTTAGCCTAACTATAGTATGATTTGAAGGAAAAAAAAAACAAAAAAAAAAAAGAAGACAGCCATCTCATAAACCACAAGATAATTGTAAAGGAACGAGACATGAATGATCAATTGGTTCAATCTCCAACCATTTCCTAAAAGAGGATAATGTTCCTTCCCCATATATATATGCCTACCTTTGCTAACATAACCTGCAAATATATCTACTAAGCATCTACAAGAAAATCCAACTTCCATTGAGATGACAGGGAAAATAATAAAATAAAAATTATATCAATAAATAATCATCCACCAAAACATTCCAAATATCCTTATAAAATAGGTGTAGTCAATATAGTATAAGAAATCTAATTATGTGATAGTGATAGAGACAAGTGTAAAAAAAAAAAAAAGAAGTCTAAAGAATCACAAGTGAGGAAAGAGTTAAGGGAGCCGTGACTAGAATAAATAGAAGAAAACAAAAGAAAACTATACCATCTAGTCCCAGCAACCAAGCACTAAATGAACTCACGTCTACCCTTGTGAACCTTTTTTTTTTTTTTTTTTTTTTTTTTTTTTCCTTTGAAAAACATACCCTCGTGAAAAACTTGAAGTATGCTCTTGAAAGTGTTTTGCCAAGCCACGCCACCAAAAATCACCGAAAAAATAAAAACAAAACCACCCGTAATAAAACCAAACTATACACCAATTGTCTCAAAATCCACCCCCAAATAAGGGGTCACTCAGTATAATTTTCTTATTCTGTTTTGTTTCTACTTGCCTCATCAAAACACTGCCAAAACTTACCAAAATGATCCAAAAAATGAAAAAAAAAAATTTCCTTTACGCCTTCCTCCTCCCATACCTCCAAAAAGTAGTGTACTACCCAAACAGAGTAGCACCATTTTTTGTTGCATAGATTGATCATTTCCGGTCTAAACAAGCATCCTCGGAGACCTTGCCGTTTGAGAGCCGGGACTGGTCAGTCAACCCAGATGAATGTTCTCTAGGAGCATTGTCCTCCACTGTGATCTTCTGAAATGAAGTTGCAAGCATATTAGAACTTGACTCGGCATGAGATGATGCCTTTGCTTCCTGAGGAAACCTATTTGATGAATGTATCCATCTCATCCACTCGCCACGTCTCCTGATTTTATCATCCTACAGCAATTTCAATAGTAAATTAACAACTGATAATTTATTGCTTATACTTATGCTAGAAACAAGACAAACGCAGTACCAGCACTTCCACCACAGTTGAAGTCCTCAAGGAATCCAAAATCAACTGAATATTGTTCGTCAAATTTTTAACCTGCAAAAATAGAACCATGAAGCCAATTTGTTCCGGGACATGGATATTTGAAACTGTACATTTTAAATCTCTTTGGAAAAAGTAGATAGCAACATTGCAGTGAAGACATATTAGTGAGAATTAATGATTCCTGAATTTGAAGAAAGAGCAACTAATCAAAAATTTTTACAAATTGTTGCATGAAAGAACAAAGATGTGAACTGGACGGAATCGAGGAAAACAACAAATATGCCATGACAACAAGTGCTTTTCCATTAAAATTCACTTTGTACAAGACAACACTTAAGCACAAGGGAAATACGATATACCAACCACAGCTGCATTTGGCTTCCTTCATAATATTTTTTTATTGATTTGTGTAGTCTCTACCTGCAGGGACTTTATACTGGATGCACTCGGAAATTTGACCCAAAACAATACTAATGCATCTTGCCTCTACTGGATGATCCTGGGGTTCATCCCAAAATTACATTTAACATCTCTCCTGGATCTCTGCCTACTGGAATTTATATTCAAAATGAAATAACATCAATCTCTCATCTCTATCAAAAGAGACCTCTATACTGGATGTTCTTCGGATTTATAACCAGACTAACATGATCTCTCCTCTCTAACTCTACAGAACTCCATACTGGATGCTCTTGAGGTTTATACCCAAAATAAAATTAATGTCTATCTTGCACCTCTACCTATAGAGGTCATTATACAAGATAAACTTCGAGTTCATACCTGAAATGCAATACATCAATCTCTCCTCTCTACCTATAGAGACCTTTATACTGGATGCTCCTGGAATTAATATCCAAAATGATATAACATCTACTTTGCCTTCTCTAATATTATCTCTCTTTTTCTGATGGCTGTTTTTTTTCCCTCATATTTCCCAACATGCACAGATGCGACTGCTGTTCTGTGTCAATGAAAAGCTAACTAAGGATTCACTTTTTATCATTTCATGAACTAGCGAAGGCAGAGAGA